CATACCCAACACGTGACGATATTATACGACATACATACACGTTGTTTCACGACTTTAGGTCATAACTGCAGGAGGTGATTTCCTAGGTCTTTGTGATCAAAAAAGTTCATATAAACATATGCCCGATTTTGGACGGTTACGGAGTTATGACCGTTTTAAAATCAGAATAGAAGGTAACGATTACTGACAATAAACGGAACAAAATAATAAACCAGCATAATACATGATACACTTAAAGTATGAACGTAAAGTTAACTTCGTGAAATTACCTTCAATTTGATTTTATTGGTGGTTATAGCTTATTTTCGAAAATTCCACCGTCGACTGCAAGACAAGCCGCCGCTCGGCTGTGAACTGCGCGGCTGGCACGTAGCAACTTGAGCTGGTTGTTCCTTATCTGGTCAGCGGCTTCCAGAATGCGAGCGAGCAACGCGTCTCGCGTTGCGACCTTCACATTGTAAACCAGTTCCTTCATCCAATCAGCACACGGCAGACTAGTATTCGCTAGCCTTGGCCGGATATGGCACCCCACCCACACGTTGAGATAAGCGACCGGCCAGCTGATAGGCGCGGTTCAGACGAGGGCGTGTGCGGGAATGAAAAAACGGTCATAACTCCGTAACCGTCCAAAATCGGGCATATGTTTATATGAAATTTTTTGATCACAAAGACCTAGGAAATCACCTCCTGCAGTTATGACCTAAAGTCGTGAAACACCCTGTATATAATCAACTTCCAAACTATCCTCATCATCACTGCCATGACAGCCCTTTGTGAGCCCTGGCCTTCCTCACAATTGCTCACCATTCTTCTCCATTCGATGCTACATTCTCCACTTCTTTACACCCAAAATTCTTATGTCCTGCCACACACATTCTTCCCATCTTAATCTTGGTCTTCCCACCCTCCTATTTCCTTCTGGTTTGGTATTAAGTATTTTCTTACCCATTCTATTCTCGCTGGCACGTATTATGTGTCCAGCCCATTCAAGCCTTTTCACCTTTATAAATCCAATAATGTCTAGTTCATTAAACAGTTTGTACAGCACATGGTTACACCTCTTCCTCCACATTCCATTTTCTTCCACTAGTCCAAAGATATATCTCAAGATCTTCCTTTCAAATACAGTTAACAGTCTTTCATCCGACTTCTAAACTATGCATCAATCATTTTGGTATACGATGTACAACTATATACCATCCTTATGGAAGTGTTAAACTAAAACCAATCCATATTAGTAAATACAATAATGTAAATACTTAATTTTCAACTTTTCTTTCAACTTTAACAAATTTAGTTTCATATTTGTAACTTTCATCTTTAACATATTTAGTTAATATTTGTATATAAGATTTTTAACAACTGTCCAGTGTGACTAATAAAAGTTGTGTTTCTAATTTTACATCCCTTACATGTTGTGGTCAAAACTACCATCTTCAGAAGGATAATATCAACACATATTATTATACTATATATATAAACTATTACCATGTCACAGATATAAATATGAACCAAATTAAATTTGTTTAATATTTATTTAACTTTTAACTTTAATCTTTAACATATTACAAGACATAATACACACCCTAAACTTCAAAGAAATACTAAATTATTGTATTTATTATTATGGATCCATGTTAGTCAATCCAATAATGAATGGTATATTATATATATTCTATTAGAATAGAAAAATGAAAATCATCATACTGATTGAAACATGTAGTGGTACGTGTAAAATCAAATATTAACACAATATTAATTTTATTTTCGTTCATGGATGGCTACAATTATTTATAACACAGCTGCGGGGTTTCACACTTTATAACCCTAATCGCATTAATCTGTTACCACTGTTGCGGGGTTTCACGATTTATAACCCTATGCGCAAATCAGTTCACACTCTCTTCAGTAGTCTACCCGTTTACAGTAGGGGAGCTATGTATCACTGTATCACACACTCCCAATTACACAATTACACACACGTCCGGTTCTTCTTTCCGCGACGGCTGCTATACTCCAACTATAGTCGCCTGACTGGAGAACTGTTGATAACACACTCGCTCGTAGGCTTGCTCGGAACTGAGCTCGGTAATGGCCACATTACAACTCAACTCCGCAGGCAGCGCAGCTCTCTTATATAGGGGCTGTGTGTGCCTGTTACGTGCCACGTCACAGCAGGAAGCGGTGCCGCGTCACCGTGTTGCGTCACCGCGCGTTGCGCGTTACATCACCGTGGGGAGAGTGGCGGGGCAGGGACTCGCCTATTACCATAGTAACGCGAGCGCCACGTACCGCTGGGGAGGCGGGTGTCCTCCGTTGCGCAACATGTCACAATATTAATTTTATTTTCGTTCATGGATTGTTGTGCTGATGGTCACGTCAGTCACCTTATCATAACAAATGATACTAGTTCCTACATATGCAAGATTTTTGCTGCATCAGGCTCAACAAGTCTTCTGGTTGCTGGCCCACACAGGACATTGCAAACCACCTCAGAATTGGGAGTACATATAAAATTAGCAATCACTTTCATTTAGTTAGCATTATCTAAAGCTTCTGAAGATTTAAATTCAGATTTATTAAAAAATATGCAGGAAAATCATTTTAAAAAAACAATTATCTAATTCCTGTATGACATGCTGAAAAGTTCCAGAAAGCTACAGTAATAAATACATAAAAAGACGATATAACAAAATCTTGAAAATTAGATATATTACCTTACTAAATTCTGACTGCAAAATGTCTGTATTAATAAAAATATATAAGCATACTGCCCTAACAAAAATAAAGGAAAGAGTGAATTCCACACAGGAAGATCCTACTGTGACAAATATTTCTCTCTCTCTCTCTAAATAAACTCATCAACAAAAAACAGTAAGCTATATATTCAAGGAACCCATCTGTCCTTCATAGATTACAAAGAAGTATTTGACAAAATAGAAAAAATTTGACTGAAATTCTTATAATACCCAATCAATCGACATCAGGATTATATGAAACATAATAAATGTTTCATTCTGGTATCTTGCTTGGCTCATTTATCAACTCTTGAAACTGGAGACGTTCCCCTGAAACATGGGCTGGCTTTCAATGAGCTGGATGTAATTATATCCCAGAGGACTGAACATATGAAGACGTGTGTTTTTCTTGACTCTAAACTGTACTTCCACCAGCACCTTGATTCCTTATTGTCATGCCATCAATTTGTTAGGCATATTACAGACTATTTAATACATTCTCCTTTCTTTATTAGATACTATGGTGATGCTTTAAATCAACCTATTTAGAACAAAAACTGCACAGGCTTCTGCTGTCTGTGAATTCTCTTATCAACACTAATTCCAGTAAAGTGGGACATGTCCAGAGTAGATTTCTCTGCCTCATTTTACAACAGAATTCATAGTGCATAATTCTTTCTGTTTTGAATAACTTAAAATTGCATATTTCATCTGAGGCAGTGATAATGCTCTGAGTCACTGTTTTATAAAGAACAGTTTTATTACCTGCTCTTCACTTCTGGCATTTTATATTAACAGAGTTCCTGTCAGAAACAGTGGAACCTTTAATACCATTTCTACTTTGATTTCAACTAAGAAATGTCCTTTTGTCCACTGCAATTTAGTAGGAAGTGAACTCTGCAACCACATCGCTAACATGACAGTCATTCCTTTAAAATTATCTTTGGGTTGATCAGTAGTTGCCACACAGTTTGTTACTTTCAGTACTATTATAAAGTTATGCTTGTAGAATACCTTACATTTTCCCTGCACAGAGGGGGGGAAGGGAGGGAGAGAGTTTGTGTTTCCTTTTACATTTAATTGTCTGACTGTGGTAACTCTTTACTGACTCCTGTAACCATTCGGTTAGCACACAAAAGAAAGAACTGCATTACTGTTATGGTATTAATCACATATATATGAAGATAATGATACAAATTTTGAGACTAATCACACATGATAACATCTCTGAAGACAATTTACAGTACTGATTTTACAATTTTAATATAGCTATAGAATACTATTCCATGAAAGGAGTGGGGGAAGTTCAAAAATTTCTTTTCCACAAATGGAACCAAGGTCATTTCTGTTAGAGATTGAGTCACTCCAGAGCCACAGTGCAGTTGGGAGGATTGGGTCCAGTCAAAAATCCAATGACCTCATCAGAAATCGAACTCATGACCCTCCAACTTGTAGCATAGTGCCTGAACCATGCTACCGTGTGCTCCCATATGCAAACAACCAACGCATAATCCCTTTTCCTCCACAAGTGAGAATCAATTACAACTAGTGTTACCCAATGAAATATGCAACATTCTAGCAGAATTTAAAAGCAAATATCACAGCATTTTACTTATGTATTCATCTATTTCATTTCAATTGAGGCATTCATTTGTATGGCCCAGCAAATGGGTTGTCGCATCTTGTCCAATCATTGCATTACCTCAGACATACGCCCTTGGTCTGACTGGTCCTCCAAGCTGATTCATTCCAGTTTCGGCAGAATCAAAAGTATGAACGCCTTACTTGGATATCTTGATCAGCATTCCCACAAGTTTGTTCCTACTGCCAAGGAGTGGAAACATACCTACGAACTATGTGTGCATTTCACTGATTTCCACTAGACCACACAATGAGCCAGTTTCTTTGGTGTGTCTATCCCAAGACACATACATCTGTCCTCCAATTCCACACAGTATTTATTGCAAGCAGAAATTGCACTGAACTTAGAGCACATACATCTGTTGCCTGTTACATGTGTGCTTCAAGTCACACATTCCTAGCAACCCTAAAACACTTGAACCTTGAACAAACCTAAGCATTTGTATGCAGTATGACTGTCAAAAGGATCATTATAAAATCCTGTAAATGTGGGGTTTCACTACTAACTTGAAAAACCATTTTAGAAGACAGTTGGCCAATTCTCTTTCCACCAACCTGATACAAAGACTCATGCAACAGCAATATGAATCTGAGGCGTGCAAGATCTCATGCAACCCTCACCTTTGCCATTGCACACAGCCTGTTCTCCCTGTCCTTTGTTGCAGACTGCAACATCAGAAACATTCATTCACTTCAACACAAGCAACTTCCTGCACATGTACATGTTTCAATCACACAGTTCCTAACAGAATCATGTATGTACTTTGCATGTGACCCACATTCAGTTTCCTGTTTGTGAACAGAGCTACAGCATTCAGACTTCATCAAAATTTCTTTTTGCCTATTTTCTTTCACAGAACATGACTCTTCCTTTTGACACTTTCCACCTTCCTGAACTGTTTTGAAATGTAAAGTTTCAGAAACCTGATCTGTTCCATCATCAGATGACTCCAGCGATCGAAACAGCTTTTTGCAAAAGGCCCATCCAAGCAGGGAACTTTCCTCTGTTATGCTAGATGACAAAACACCTCCACTTCTCAAAACATTATGTTTGAAAAACACTCAAGATAATGGACATCTCTAAAATAAGTCATGTTTATAGCAGCACACCATGAGAAAGATTTAAACATGACAACTGCCATTGTAACAGGAATACAGTCAATTCACAGCAAGTTCCACAGAATGAAGTGCCCATTACCCCATTTTGTAAGAAACAAGCCTAGAAGGAACTCACAAAACACCCACAACAAACACAGCTTTTGCTGTGACAGTTCCTCTAAACTCAACAAACAAATTATTTTAGAGCTGGGTATTATGTATGGTATATTACTGAAAGCAGTAGCAATGTGGTAACACTAAACAACTGTGTTATGGCCTAAACACAGCACAAATGAAATACTACACTGGAAATACTCTCCACTGATCTGCAAGTATTCCAAGAACTCCCCATACAAGCCAAAAGATGTCATCAAAAAGATAAACATGTGAGGGCTGATTTCACTGTCATGAAAAGAATGAATGACACAATTACAAATACTTATTCTGTTAGTGGAAATCATATTGCAACTCTTGCCCTACTGTTGCTGGAGTTCTGTGGAGTTCATGGAGGTAATTTTGAAATCTTAAGTATCTGTGCAATGCTGAGAATTTATGTTCAATCTCAGCCATCAATTTCCAGGCATGAAGTGGCATAGTTTGGTGAGACACCATGCTACAAGCCAGAAGGTCGCAGGTTCGACTCCTGACAAGGTCATCATAGTTTTCAATTGACCCAATTCTTCTAGCCACACTATGGGCCTTGGGGTCGACGCAGCCTCTGACAAATAAAAACTAGGAATCTTCCTAGGAGTAAAGGGCACTAGCATGTAAGGCTGATCTCACCAATATCTGCGAGCCAACTGTTCAGAAAATGTATGGCAGCCTTGATGCCTCACAACCCTACGTGCCTCCAGGGCCTGTTCCAGGAAGCTTTACTTTACCTTACCTTAGCATCAATTTCACTCAGTTTCTCTTCACCATGCACCAGGCATTTCAGTTCAGTATTTCTGTCTGCCTTTAATTTATTTACAATTCTGAGAACAGCATTTCTATATAGACAGAGTCTACCCTCCTGAAATTTATGCTCAAATCTTTTTCTTAACGAACCACTTTTCAAACATCTGTTCCAACATCTCAGAGATCTCATTTTAACATATGAAATAACATACCTCTTACATGAACTACTTACTGTACAGAGAGATCATATACAGTGGCAAAAGTTGAATGCATTAAGTTTACTCTATGACCATGCTGTCTACAGAATTCAGTACATAGCAAATTAAGTGCACCGAAGAGTACTAATGCACCAAACTATGAAAATCCCAACATGTTTACGAACCAACCTTAGATATCCTGTATCATGAACAAACAAACCTCACAGATTTAGAGTACCTCTGCATCTCCATCTATCCCCCTTTCCTTGTGTCCCACACAATCTGGGATTGTTATATTATTTAAAGCTATTCTGTTGTTTCAAAATCACATCCTAATCAAGTTCTAAACAAAATCGTCATTTAAAAGAAACACCAGCACAAATTAGACTTCACCAAGCCGTCTGGACCCGTCAGCAACATGCCAAATGGCCTGTTTCCTTCACCAAACCAAACGCATACCACACATTCGTGTGAACGCGGGTGTAGGTGCATACATGTGTATCACTCTGGAATGTTCACAGCTGAAACTTGTAAAAAGGTAAAGCCATCTCTCCCTCTAACAGGCCTCTAAGATGTCAAGGCTCCCATATTTTCTAAACAATGAGCCAATAGATAACAGTGAGGTTGTCAGTTTTACGTGCTGGCTGCCCTTTATACCCGGGAATATTCCTGGTACTGACCCTCATTTCTGTTAAGAGGTTGAGTCGACCCCAGGGTCATATTGCTGCTGGAAGGATTAGGTAGCCAAATATCCCACGATGTCATGAGGAACGAAGCCTGTGACCTTCCAACTTATAGCATAGTGCCTCAAGCAACTCAAGCAACCTGGCATTACTGTCCATGCATACTAGAGCCTCCTGCTATACCAACCTAAGCTATACATGTCCCAAGCTTCCACTTCCACATTAACAAATTCACCAGACTGCTTTTACATTACATAAATAACAGGCCAAATACCCTCTTAAAAGTATAACCTCATACAGATAATTTATACCAATTAATTTCTAAATAATTTTCACGAAACCATTCATACATAAAGAAAGACTACCAGGTAATTCCTTTAAACCAGTCACTACTCAAAACACATTTCCATTTCCTATTACTACCATCTGAGGCAGATAGACACAGTCCAGACCACACTCACAAGGATAATTTGCAAGAAGTATTAACAAAACATATATTGTTTAAAAATTCTTCAGGGTATGTCATCATAAGATATCAATTCAGACCATTACAATTACTACATCCTATTTTCTACATACACTGGAACCCAAAACCATGATACTGAAATGAAAACATGGAACATTTCTTCCACGAGATTGCCTAAACAGAATATGATGTGCCCTAAACTATTTTTGGCAGAGAATAATGTTTATTTTATCTTTACAACACACACAGTACTCACTGTATTATTCTGGGATATGGATTCAACCTGCTGCATTTCGTGCTCACTCCTGAAACAAAAGAAAATGTCCACACTTAACGACAAGGTAGATTTTAGGCAGGTACACATTTCAGAGGCAGGGTTATGCCAGGGGCGCCACAAAAAAAAATAGAATCCACAGAATTTTGTGAGACTCACTCCTCTAAAATCATGAAGAGTTAGGATTTTACTTATTAAGAAATAAAAAAGACAGAATTCTCATAACCCAAATCTGTTGTTACTATTACAAGCCTCCCACAACTGTAAATCTGGCCCTGTTCTTAAATAAAAGGTCAGTTTTCAAATCCAAATTAAAGTGATTTCTTTACATAAGCAAACTCACGTACATTAGAGAGTATGAAAATGGATACTCCAACCGGTTTCAAACTCCATGGGGAGTGCGCTTAGGCTGTGGTAAAAGGCTTCTCTAAAAAACATTATGGTACTCTGAGACCTTTGCGACCAGACCAGACCAGACCAGACAACTACTCAAAGGCACAAATATTATTTTGTTTAACAAATATTACAGAAGTTCCTTATACTAATACTTCTAATAATTCACAAGACTAAGCCCTACTCTGATATGAAGTGATACAGCCAACATACGTGGTGTGTTCAAAAAGTATCAAACATTCTTTTTTCCCATGTAAACCAATGAAGCGCGGGAGGCTCCCTTCGGTGGAGATGTGGAGGGGACATTCATGCGCAGTCGTGAATTTTTTCCCGCCCTCAGAAAGTGTCAGTCGCAGGCAGTCGGCCTATGAGTGAGGACGTGTAGTGAGTGCTCGTCGGATTCCAGTAAGGTGTAAAACGATGGAACAACATGAGCAGTGATATTACAACAAATTCTGCCAAAAGCATGGAGATACCCAAGTAGAAACCATTCGCAAAAGATTCAACAGGCTTTCGGGGAAGATGCCATGAGCAACTCACGGATAAAGGAGTGGTACAACTGCTTCAAAGATGGCCGCACATCAGTGGACAGCGAACTGCATTCAGGCAGACCCTCAACAAGCCGAAATGAGAATGTCATTGAGCAAGTGTGGACTTTGGTCATGGAGGACCGTCGTATCACAGTACGAGATCTTGCGAACAAGACAGGGGTAACTACTGGATCGGTACATTCAATTTTGACCAAGGATTTGGGCATGAGGAGAGTGTCCGCGAAATTCGCACCGAAACTGCTAACAATGGAGCATAAGCAACGCCGTCTGGAAATTGCACAGGACATGCTGGACAATGCAAACAGTAACCCCAACTTTCTGAACATCGTGATCACAGGCGATGAGTCATGGGTTTATGGGTATGACCCAGAAACCAAGATGCAGTCTTCACATGGAAACATCCGATATCCCAAAGGCCAAAAAAAAGCACGGCAGGTACGCAGCAATGTCAAGGTCATGTTGGCCGTTTTCTTCAACTCCCGTGGGGTTGCGCATCATGAGTACGCACCACAAGGCCAAACCATCACAAAGAATACTACCAGGAGGTCCTTTGTCGCCTCTGTGATGCTGTGCAGCGCAAACGACCGGATCTGTGGGCAGCAAAAACTTGGAAGCTCCAGCATGATAACGCATCTGCCCATTCTGCGCATCTGATTCAGACTTTCATCACCAAACACAACATCCCTGTGGTTCGTCAGGTTCCCTACTCCGACATGGCTCTGTGTGACTTTTGGCTATTTCCCAAGCTGAAAATGCCGCTGAAAGGAACCCGATTTGAGTCAAGAGAAGACATCATGCGGAATGAGATGGCCCGGCTGATCACCATTCCAAAAGATGCGTCCCAGAAGTGTTTCCAACACTGGCGGAAGCGGTGGGAGAAGTGTGTGCATTACCAAGGAGACTACGTTGAAGGGGATTAGGGTTTTGTACCTCCAAATCAATAAATGTATTTCTGCCGACCAAAGCTTCGATACTTTTTGAACACACCATGTACACCAACCTATGAGCAACGTGATTTTAGAAACCAAGACTTGGTGTCCAATCTGAGGCAAACAATTGGTGAACAGAGATAACTACATAATTTTGAACAAAATGCTATTATCATAAAGCTGAGTGGTAGAGCATAAATTGCTCCATACTTTCATTCAGAAGATACTTGATTTAACCTTTAAGTGACGGCCCTTTAAATTCCGGTAACGGCAGCGGGACGGATTTGATTTAAATACCCGCAATTTTAAAGCAATAAAAACTGTGATCATTTCCTAAAATTGCTGTGATTTCTACAATTTTTGTGATAAACGAACCACATAAACGCTGTTTTTTTCTAGAAAGAATATAGAATCAGATATTGTAATTTAGAGACTTTATAAAATGTGTAAAAATTTTTAGATTGATTCCAAGTATAAAATTCCCAAATTTGTCGTCTGCCTACAAGAATTCATATAGTTCTTGGAAGCAAGAATGCTCTATGTAAATGTGGCAACACAGCGGATGGTTATGAAGATGATTATGTTTAGTCTCGCATGTCTCGAAGCATATACACGTACCTTCTTTGGTATGCAGAGATGTGGGCCTGTATATCTCCGTTTATAAGAACGTTGATTGTTTATACACAACAATTTCTCTGTACTGACCAGGCTCAGTTAGTTTATCACAACTCTCAAGGCCAAGCACAGCCAAGCAGTGTCATAGAGCTTCAAAGTTTCGCAGCGAGAACAGTGATATTGTCAGCTCACCATGGTGTCATTTCGTTTGGAAGATTCAGACATTTTTCAACTCAAAAATGACTACGAATCAGATTGTTTTACCGACAATTCTGAGAGTGGCGTTGTGGAAAGTGATTCAGAAATGGATTTCGAGGAAGACCCATCATCTTGGTCGGCAACCTGGGGACCACCACACCAGCATGGCAAGAGGAGTGTGAATAATTATTCAGGTGGAGCTGTGGGCAAACTGTGGCAAACAGTTATAGCATCTGTCGTCGAACCTGGAAATGGACAAATAAAGTATTTTTCCATCTCCTGGATCTGAACAGTTACATCCTGTTGTCACACAGAGAATTTCGTCTCACTCTTGTGCAGAACATGCTGGAAGGGGTCCACCTCGCCATCAATGGCCCAGGGGTCGACCCCTGCCGTTTTATCGGAGATATCTCGATTATAGGAGGCCAAACCACATCACTGGCCGACTTCCTCTACTTCGCAATTGAGGTGTCGTGTGTGCTTTTCGCGTGGGAAACGAACCGTCTAGACAAAGTGCGTGAAGTGCGACGTCGGACCCTGGATTTCCGGATGTTTCCAAGATTTCCACATGAAGCCAACTTCCGTTAGACGATGCAGGTGGGAAGAGAGACAACTTATAAAGCTGGTGACCAAAAATCATGTAAGTAGAAAAAGAATTTATAACTTAAAATTAGATTTTAAAAAACCGGCTGCATGCGTGGAATGCGCGACGACATATGGCGTCATTCGTCCCCTTGACTTTATTTTCATGACGCCATATGGTGTCGCTCGGCTCTTAAAGGTTAAATCTCAGCTGGGACACTGGCCATCCTGACCAATGATTTCCATGATTTCTCCTCAATGTTTCTTGGCAAACACTGTGACAGTACCTCCAATCAGGCCATGATGTCTTCCAACTCCTTAATCATGTTGTAATTTGGTGCTTTATAGCCAACCTACCGACAGTATTGGCAAATAAACCTACACACATACACAATGACAAGCATGCACATACAGCACAACTCCACAATGCATGATTCCTATACCTGCACATATTTAATTACCAACAGCAAACTCATGACTGTGGGGTAGTTTCTGTGCTCTTACTTGATTTGTCACATCATGCCAAGAGCTAAGCTCCCCACACAGTTGACACACAAAACTTCACTCTGATAACATCACAATTCTGCCAAAAATTTCAGCTGGTAATATCATGCAATGAGTGATGACTGCACAAGGTTAAAATGCAGATTGCAGCACACACATGCATTCTTTCTCATCTTACATGGTACAACCACAGGCCACAATATCTAAATTGGTAAGTAGGTCAAAAAATAAAAATAGAGGAAGACCAATCACATCCCACAACCTTAAAAAGATTTTCCTTGCTTAGTGTATAAAGCAATACCACATGCATCCTCCAAGACATTTAAAATCAGTTATGTCTGCTGCCCAGTTATATGCAATGTGTTGGACCTAGACATCAGGGTGATAAAGGCAGAATGTAGAATTCAGAAAAGACCCAAGTTTACATTTCACTTCACCAAATAACTGAAGTAACATAGCTTCTGAGCGGCCTCCGTAGTCTAGAGGTAACATTCCCACCTCATGGCTTGTGGTACGCGGGTTCAAATACCCTGTGGAGGTCGTCGAATTTTTAAGGGCGGAAAAATTCAGGGAACAAGTCCTCCGGGAGGGACTTTAAGCTGTGTGTCCCGTGTCGTAACTTTACGGCATATAAAAGAACATCATATCCCCAAAGGGGATCACTGAGCCAAATTCCAGGATGTTTCCCGCCCAACAATAGTCTCTAAGGCCTCTGATAGATGGGGGAAGCATTATAGACACCGCTAAGCAAGTGGCCGAACTCACTTGCTCGGCGGGACTGATGGTACGCACCATTTATCGGTAGGGTATAGAGACTGGTAGAATATCATAGAGGGAAGCACAATAGATCAAACTGGTCACGGTGCATGGGGAAACCCACCCTCTCTAAATAACTAACTAACTAACTAACATAGCTTCTGTCTACTGAATAAGATTAAATTAGATTAAATTAGAACTCAAATTCACTAGTTCCATATATTAGAAAACACAAACAAGAAACAGCACCTGGGTTCTGAGATTCTCAGAACAGCAACAATGAACGTACTCTTCTACAATCTAGTCAAAAGTTTACCGGTGTTTCCATGAATGTCAGCTAACTACTACTGAACCCCAAAGCATCACTTCCCCCAAGACAACACCATGTTCAAAGAACAATACCCTTCCTGTCCCCAAGAACTCATGTTTAGTACTAGTGCAAACAAGCCAATACCAAGAAGAAAGCAGTCTTCTGGGATTTGGCACCGTGTATATGTGGTGTTAACCGACGTTTCGGAGGAACGTATCGCCCCCATCTTCAAGGCAGAAGAAAAAGTCTGCTTTACCGTTTCTCACGGTGTTGTCGCTTGCAGATTTCTTACACTTTTTCTTCTACCCTGAAGATGGGGGGGTTTTGTTCCTCCGAAACGTCAGTTAACACCACATATACACGGTGCCAAATCCCAGAAGACTGCTTTCTTCATAGTCACCGCCGTGAAAGCCTCAAATCTTACAAGCCAATACCAAATTTATTTACTTGAGTTTACTTTGCCAATACACAAAGTTATTTACATATAAATGCACCTGCACTACCTTCGCTCGCTCACTTGGAAGCCGGGATCGTGGGCTCAAATTTCACTCATGGCATATATGTGTGTGTAAGGTAGAGGTCTTGCAATGAACTGATCGCCCACCCAAGGAGTCCTACCAAATGTCTAAGATCTAGCAAACCAAAGTGAAACGGATAGTTTCATGGAGGTAGGCCAAGACCCACGTTGGGGCTGCAGTGCCAAAGGAAAAAAAAATCATAATATAAAATGGGCATGGTTGCCATGTGAAATACATAAGACTAATGAACCACATGAAATTGTCTATGAAAATATGATGCTGCAAGACCTTGATGTTATACCCAACAATTTTAACATTTTGCGGACTGGTGGCATATTTTTATGCCCAGCGCTTTTAAACATGGCAGACCGGTGGCATATTATTATGACTTTAGGACACGTTATATTGAAACACACTATACCTTGCACTGGCGCCAGGCAGACGCATGACTGGCGCGTGACAGACCTCTTGAATGTTTGCTTCGTAGTCAGTAACATGACCCCGCTGTCTATGAACCAACTGTTTTCCTTTCTCACTCCAAAAGAAAATGCCTTTGTTCATCTTCCAGCTGCATCCCAGGCAGGAAGTTACTAGTGCAAAATGGATCAAGGTCGGAAGAGGTTGAGGTACAAGCGTTTTGCCGGAGAACAAGAAATATCTGACTTGTTCTCCGATGGGCTGACGTCCCTTATGAGTCTGCTAGTGATAGCGGCTCACAATCTGATAGTGAGTGTGGCCACAGACAGTGAAAGTGAAAGTGACAGCAGTTCTGACGAAAGTGCGGATAGAAACATTGCGGGGACAGCAACATGGTGAAAAGCAGACAAAACACCTGCTTTGGGAAAGTTTACTGGAAATCCAGGGGTGAAGCAAATTCCATCGGACACAACGCAAGTGTCTGAAGTAGCGGAACTGTTTTTCCACAATTCACAATTCAAGCATGGTTGATGTTCAAAGGAGACATGGACAGGTAAAGAAGCCTGTTTGTATTTCCGAGTATAATATGTTCATGAAGGGAACTGATAGAGCCGATCAGTACTTGGCCTATTATTCTCTTCATCGGAAAACAGTAAAGTGGACAGAGAAAGTTGCCTTGTGCCTTATAAATTGTGCCATTTTCAATTCATTCTTGGTTTTCAAAAATCTAAACCCTCATTCAAAATTGAAATACAAGGCATTTCTGCTGAATGTGTAAAAAGCCTGTGCTACAGACCACACGGTGGCGGCAGGCAGTCTTAGTACGACCAGGGCCGTCTACTCCCACCCCATGCAGGCCTCATTTTGACCCCCCTGGGTAACTCTCGGGTGATATGCAGAAACAAACCCTCGTGAAAATTGTGAAGAGTGAACATGCCAAGGGGAAGCAGCCTTCTAGGAGATGCTGTGTTTGCACAGTACACAACAAAAGGAGTATGACTGTCTACATGTGCAAGTTCTGTGTGATGCCACTTCACAAAGGGGAACGTTTCCAGAAATATCACACTCTCAAGCACTTCTAGGATCATTGGTAAGTGTTCTCCAAAAATTTTAGTTCATAAACTTAATTAGGAGATTTTATATTAATTTTTAAAGTGAACAGTGCACAAGTTAGGGTNCCTCATAAAGCAACTGTTTTTATACCTTGCTTAGTACGACATGCACAAATGCATCAACCTCGTATGTAACGTCATTTTCATTCCTGAATTTCTCTGATATGGACATTGAACGTAATTTAGAAAGTGTGTATTGGGCAAGTAACAGGAAACAGATGAAGATAACTGATTATTGTACTCGTATCTAGGTACAGTAAGGCACAACAATTGATGTAATCTACTGTAATTTGGTGAGTAGGCCTACCTTTAATATACAGTATTAGTGCGGTGTGTATTGTCAGTGAAAAGCGCTGTAATATGTCCTTGATATTACACATTTGGGCAATTCCACGTTAATGTTACGTTAGTCTGTACTTAACTACATATTTCACTAAAAAATGCAACATTTTAACTCGGTTTTTGGTAGATTTTTGCGTGACTAACATAAGGCTACTGTGGAAGTGCCCATTTCGGTTACAACGACATTCGTTTATAACGACACTATTTTTAGGTCCCTTTGATGACGTTATAACCAAGTTCTACTGTATATGTGGCTGCTACTAGGCAATGACGCTGTAAACACACGTCGGCAGCAATGAATAAATATACCATACAAGATACGGTTTTTCCTACACAACCATTGCTAGGCAACATGGTAAACCACATGTTCATGGCAACAAATGAATGCCAACAATGGAGAAGCAAGCCATTGGAAGTGGTGCCTTCTACATTGTGCATGCCAGGGTTATACAGTGAGGTGCAACTGGGCAGGTGAGTCTGTCAACAGTCAGTCTGAGGTCAGTCAGCAGTTAGCAGCTTCGATTTGCACTGCTGGCAAACATCACCTAGCAGCAACTAGTGAACAAACAAAAGAATTTCTTATGTATGCTGTAGTTTAGTGTTTTAGTCAGTGGAGATCAGCGAGAGACTGTTTATTATGTGTAGTTACATGTTATAAGCAAGCATTCAATAAATCCAGTTATCAATCCAAAACTCTTGTGTCTAGTCAACTACCTGCTCAAATTAGATTTCAAGCTTCCAGGCACATCTACTGCTTACCTATCTGCTATATACATAAAATGGTGCTAAGCTTCATGAACAATGGAGCCAGACTGTTGGTATACGGCCATCATTCACAATCCCCTCAGTTCGGCATGTACAGTGACAGCTGGGGCTACTCATCCTTGGTGTCACTGTGCATCTCGTAATCAAAATCTGCAACATAAACACCAAACAGAACAAGTTAACAGGATAGAATGATCCTCCACTCAAAAACATGTGAAATGAATTCAAACTATCCTTATTTCCTAAATAGACTGTTTAGTCTTTACCACATATACAAATATACATGCAACAACAAAAGAATTGTTACACGCATCATTTTCTATATGATCCGCAGACAGAAGGAAAGTAACACACGGTACAAAGAAATGGTCACTGCAACCACTGGACCTCAACTCCATAATTACCATATATGATATTGTCACGTGTATCAGACACTAAAGACAGGGTTCAGATTGGTAACTGGATTTATTTACCACTTATAGGTCATAACTACAATTAATTATTACACTGTCACTGATTTTCACACTACAAAGCAGTCCATCGCACTAGTCTTCATGGATTTATAACAGAAAACTATAAAAGTCTTTCTCAATAACAATACACTATAGCACACATAAAGTCTTCAAATCACACATTAAATCTTCACAGGCTGACTTCTTGTACTCTTCTGCACTCCTCCAGCCTGCTATCCTGTTTGCGTGCTTCTGACCCCCTCCCAACCCTGCTGCCGCAACTACTACTACTACTACTACTACTACTACTACTACTACTACTACTGCAGCAGCAGCAGCAGCAGCAGCTTAGGAACTCCACTCACATAAATAGCAGAGGAACAGACATGCATCACAGGAAATACATGTCACATGATCACTACCCAGCCAGCCCATTGGTGCATGCTGCAAGGACATACACCAAACACATGCCACATAAATGCTACCTACTACTGTGTGACATCACCAGAGACACACAAAACACAGCTTCCTCTATTGCTGCATGTTGGACCATGCTTACAGAACTGCAACCTGGCAACACGTTGATCGAATCCCTTACAGTATGAATGATCTTGTTTATTATACAAGAGGGCACATGAAGACTCATCAAACTCTTGATGAAGCCACATGCACCTATGACCAAGCCACTCGACACATTACACGTTCTATTGTGAAAATGTGCAAGGAAGAATATGAATGAATCAAAGCTGAAGGTAGACATTCAGAACATTTGTTACCGCAGTGAAAACCCTAAGCACAGGGGTAACTTCATCTTTAGCTTTTACAGCTTTTGCAGTGTCATTAATGGTTACAATAAAAAAAACATGTCCATCACATTTAAATTGTCTTATTAATCTCTCAACTGGCAGCTCAGTAACCATTCAGAATTGTACCCATGTTGATATATATCTCACTCCAGATGACTTCAAGAATAACCTCCTGAAGCTATGAAAATACCTTGAGTAAGAGTGACTGTGACAATTCAATGGAATCTCTTCATTTCTTTCATTAGATTTTGTACTATTAACATTCCCTGCTTTCTCCACAGTCCCACATATTACAGAATGATGCAGTGATTCAGGCATTTAACACCACTTCCAACAAAAAACATGCCCATATAGTCAACAGTGAGGAGTCTCCTCTCTACAGCATACTAAACTTCACATAACCACATCCCTATTATCAGCATCCACAGAATCAACATAAACAATAGACCATTCGCTCGATTGTGACCTACTACTACATAAGTTATATTCATGCAACATGTAAAAACACTCAACAGTTTGTTCATCTGGTAACACAAAATTACACGTAATGACAATAATAAATCACACACAAAACATGTATGTAAGCAGGCATACGTGCAAATTTCTGGCAGTAACGCTTTTCCAGGTTTTTGTACTTTAATTATAGACTACCTTAGCCACCACTTTTAGTACACCAGCTGATTAGCTTTCACAGAACTGGGTATAAATGTCATACCAATGGAAGCCACTCCAGCAAACTTAATTTTTTACATACCAGTACTAAAACCATGGCCAGATGTGTAAATTGGTGATGCAGAATAACAAACACTAACTCCATTTAATACTCAGTCCTGAAATTGTGTATAGATTAAAAACGGTGGGGGACTTCTGAAATTTCTGTAATGTAAAACAATATGGCAGGCCAGTCATGAAAAAGCACCTTTAAATAATTACAGAAAAAAAAAGTGACTGGGGAACCTTGGTTCCAAGGTTTGGCGTTAAAAATGTAATGAAATTGGGATCTGTACTGGAATAAATCTACTTTATACATTACACTTACAGTTTATTGAAACATTGCTATATGTACAGTATATTATTTATTTCAATTACCAGAAGCGTTTAATTTGTAGTCACATCAGAATTCATTGTGCTCAAGACAGATCTATGATAACTAAAGTATGAAACATAGTTCATGCAGAATAAATTGTCCACATTTTGTCCAAAGACCATATCAATGCAAGAATTAGATCTAGTCGTTCCTTGAGAAAGATCCGAACGTCAAGTTCTAAGGTAACTTTGTTCATTTGGGTACATTATTACAATTATCTTCTGCTAACTGCTTCTTCTTCCTGTACTCTCATATATGCAGCAAGACTATTACCAAAGGTCATCTTAACTGCATGAAGTCATACACTGCCAGCTTCCCTATAGCACTGCATCATTTTGCTAAAGAGAAGAATTGAATTAGGCATAAACCCTCACATTTATTACCATATACCACTCATAAGGTCCCAGCATTAACAGCATGGAACACACGATTTCCACAGGTTTTCCATTTACTTATGTACCAAATTTTGTTACTAACGGTTTCATTCCATTTGTACCCTCATAAATTAACGTTTTCAACGTTAAAAATTTATAAACACAGAACAACCAACTACATTAATTCATTATCACCATGAAACACTCTTCAAAACGTTTTCAGGGTGAATATTATTAAAATACCCATTGAATTTCAGTTCCTATTTTCATAGACATTCATACTGGCATACTCTGAAGCTAATCTGAACTGCAGTTATGGAAGTTTCACACGCTATGAACATGCTAAAACACAGTATTTATTTTAGCATTTTTTAGGCATCATCCTTGAAGGTTACAAACAATTCGATAATCGACCTTCTGGTTGCCATTTATAACTGAAGCATGCAGACAGGGGTTTCATAGGTGATTATTTCAACGTCCACATATACATGCTAACTTTTCATACATCCAAGTTGTCTAAACAGTTGTTTAATACTGCCCTGTGTTTGTGACTACACACAGACAGGGTAGCAGCTGTTAAGTGGACTTAGTGAACACTAGCAGATCTAAGTAACCATAACTCACTCTCACTCATGAAGCTGAGCCCTTCTTGAGAAGCTGCCAATGGCACAGCTACTCAAGAACTTCCCAGCATTTTATGGAACCCGCAGGTTCATTACTGTGCTGTGGTCCCTATCCATCCTATCTTAAGATCCATTTTAATATTGTCCACCCACTTGCTCACTGGTCTTCCTGGTGGTCTCTTTTCTTCTGGCTTTCTCACAAATATCCTATATGCATTCCTACTTGTCCCATTCATGCTACATGCCTTGCAATCTCATCCTCCTCCACTTGAATATTCTAATTATACATGGAGAAGAGTACAAGTTACGAAGCTCCTCCTCGTGCAGTTTTCTTCTACCTCCCACCACTTCATCTCTCTTCAGTCCAAATATTCTCAATGCCGTTTCTCAAACACCCTCAGTCTATGCTCCTCCCTTAACGTTCGAGACCAAGTTTCATGCCCATACAGAACCACAGGCAAAATTATAGTTTTGTATATTCTAATTTTTCTGTTTTTAGTCAGCAGACAAGAAAACAAAAATTCTGGACTGTATGGTAGCAAGCATTACCTGAATCCAGTCTCCTCTTAATTTCCTCCTGAATCAGGTTTTGATTTGTTAGTCATTCCCAAATACCTTAAATGTGCCACATTTTCAAAACATCTGTTACCAATCTTTGTGTGTCTTGATTTTGCCCTGCATTTTGGTTACGAGACAGCAACACATAATTAGTTGTTTTTTTTTTTTTGGCATTTGCATTTGCTTCTAGACCAACCTCCTTATCAGCATCAATTAAAGCTTCTGTTTTCCCCTTTATGGTACCTATATTATCAACAAGTATATTCATATCATCAGCTTTGACTAACAGCTGATGTATCCCACTTCATTTCACTGTATCACAGGATTTCTTGAAGTCTACAAATAGCTGATGCGGTGTCTCAATGTACTCCCTTTTTTCCTCCAGTATCTTAAGAATGCAAAAGATCTGATCAGTAATTGATCTATTACGTTGAATCCCACACTACTGATCCCCAATAATTTCATCTGTATATGGACTTAACCTTGAGAGAAGACTACTGGATACAATTTTGTATGAAGCTGATAGCAGCAATATCCCCCAATAATTATTAGTCAGTTCTATCACCCTTCTTGTGAACTGGTATGATAATAGACTCCCTTCCATTAATCAAGCAATTTTTTCTTATGACAGATGGAAGTAATTAGCTTATGGATCTTAGAATATAATATTCCACCTCCTGCTTGAATAAGTTCTGCCAGAATTTGATAACTACCTGGCAATTTACACCTTTTCAATTTTGCAACAGCACTTTCAACCTCAAAAGGATTAGGATCAGGTACTAATGCCTCAGCTGTATGTGTTTCTATCTGCCTAACATCACTGACCCCATGTACATTCAATAACTGAGAGTAGTAGCTCTTCCACCTATTCATCTTTCACTAAGTTCCTTCCTTGGTAACACCACTTTAAGTCATTTATTCCTCTGGTAACCAGTCTCACAGCCCTACATAATAAGTCTTGTCTCCACTACTTGCTGCTTGGTAACGGCCCCCATAACAATGGAGATTCTTCAACTTACATGCTCGTGCTACTGCCAGCTGGCTACCAATAGCCAAAGTCAAAATCATGTTATGGCCGATGGTCAGTTGGCCAGTCTCAGTGCCAAATCCCCCATCTGGGGCCCAAGACAAGATTTTTGTTACTGTCAAGACAGTTGTTGGTTTTCTTTATGTGGGGTGTCCTCTCTCACCAGATGATGGGACTGTCTTGTATAACTGATGTTGACCCTCACCAGCGCAAACAATCTCAG